GGGCAAGGGGAACGGGCGGGGGGTGTGAGGGGTGCCTGTGTGCCCACCAGGGTGCAACGAGGTCTTTGAAGGGGGGCGGCGTCCTGCCGGCCTGCGCGTCAGCGGTAGCGCCAGCCAGCAGGTCCACCAGGCGCTGGGGTTGGGGGGTGGGTTCGTTCCGGGGCGGCGCGGAGTTGTGTGATGTGTGTGTGTTGTGTGTGTGTTGTGTGTGTGTGTTGTGTGTGTTGTGTGTGCGCACGTGTGTGTGTGTGTGCGCACGTGTGTGTGTGTGTGTGTGCGTGCGTGCGCGCGTGCGTGCGCTGACTGTTGTAACTGCAACGTTGAGTCACGGCACGACGACGCCCATCGCCCCACCCCCTGCCCCCGATCTACGATTTCACCCAGAGATTCCCAGCCACCCTGCACCCTACACCCTGAAAAACTGCGTGCCGAATGATGACAATCAGCGCCGCGCCCGCACCTTGTAGAAGATCGGGACAGCCAGGTTCAGGAAGCGCATGAATATGATCATCGCCACGCAGCCCAGCACCCTCAGCCGCAGCCCCATGGCCTCGGGCCACGCGTACTTGCAGGCGTCCACAAACAGGGCCGCCCACGTTCGCTCCTCCTTGCCCTGCGGCGAGGTCGCGTTTTTCGCGGTTTATTTGGGCGCCGCGCATACCCTAGTCTTCATTCGCCGTGTCGCGTCCGAGCTGTTGCACCCGAACCGCGCCTCGCACCCCGCAAGGGACGCGACGGCCACGACCCGCTCTGCGCGCCAGGGAGCCCCGCAGCTCACGCCGAATGACGCAGACCCATCACATCAAGGGACCGCCCAGCAGCAATCCCCCGGCGCGTGCCGACAGCAGCCCGCAGCAGCACCGCTCAACCGCGCGCGCGAGGTCGGCACCAACCCCGCCGCACAGCGCCGCCGCCGCGGTCGCGGCGAAAACCGCCATAACCGACTCACGTCTTCGCCCCTGGCCTCCACATCGTCTGAAGCCAGGGGCTGGTAGCCGCTTCCGCCGCCCGCGGCCGCCTCCGCCCGCGCGGCCTGCAGGCGCTTTATCTCTATCGCCAGCAGCAGGGCGGTAAAGACGGACTCCATCATGGCAGACCAGACGCTGCGGTTTCGAACGAATTCGAACGGGCGTTTTGGCGGGGTGGACGGGCGGGTGGGTACGGGACAGTCCACAAGGCAGCCACCAGCCCCAACCCCGGCCCCCCTGCGCAGGCGCGTCCCCGGACCCCGGGCCAGGAGGGGGGTGGCAGCCGGGCGGGGCGACGGCAGGGCCTGCGACGAGCCCTCAAATCCCCTCCAGACGGCGACCAACAAGCCCCCCTCCAAACAAACCTGCAGGCCCGGGTCGGGGCGGGACTGGCAGCGGGGCAATGGCAGGCCCTGTGACAAACCCACGATCTTCCTCAAGACCCCAGCCAAAAAAGGCGCCCCGCCTGCCCGTCTGCACACCCCTGCCATCCCGTCCCCACCCCTTCCACGACACCCCCCCCCCCCACCTGCTCATGATGTGGCCTGGGGCAACGACAGGCCCTGCAACACGCATAAATCCCCAATCGAGAACGCAGCCAAAAACACCCATTTGCTCTTGACACAAGCTCTGGGGAAGCCGCGTCACCCTCAAGGCAACGGCGGACCTTGCAAAAAACTCTCGAGCTCCCAGCAGGCCCTTATCCCCCACCCCCACCTGCTCTTGATGTAGGCCCTGGGGAAGGCGTCAGTGCCGAGGTAGGCCGCAAACATGGAATAGACTGGGGGGTGAGGGTGTGTGTGGGTGTGCTGATGAAATCAACGGAGTGGGCACTTGTTTCCATATGTGTTGTGAGTGTTGGGAGTGCGTGTGTTTGATGAGTGGTGTGTGTGGATGTGCGCGCTTGCGTGAGTTTCAGGAAGTGTGTGTATCTGCGTGTGTGCATACATGTTTTGAACAAAGTCCAGGTCTGACACTGACCGCCCGCCCCACGCTTCCCAGCCAATTCGCGCCCGCCTCGCCCCCCAAGCCCCGCCCACCATCCCATAGGTATGCCACCAGCGCGAGCGTCACCAGCGGCAGCAGCCGCAGCGGCGCATGCCCACACGCCGCCGCCGCGCGCCGCTGTGCCGCCGCGACCGCCGCCCAGATCACAAAGAAAGCGGAGTGGTAGGCTATGTGAAACGGCAGGTCCCGCAAAGCATACGCCGCTGCAATAAGATGCGTCAAGTGGATTGCCGCGAGGGAGAGCGCCAGCAGCATATACGCAAACTCGCCGCCCGTCATGCCGCGCTTGCGGCACGCCGGCCGCGCCGCCGCGGCGCGCCGCAGGCGCGCGGCCTGCAGCGCAAGCAGCGGCGCGGCGGCGAGGAGGAGGGCGGCGGCGGCGGCGGTCTCCTGATAACATGGTGAGGGGCCGCCGCCGCGCGGGAGCCAGGGGTCTGGCCCGAAGGCGCCGCACCATTCCGCGGCCATGGTGGGGCGGCCGCGGATAATGGTGTGCAGGATGAGTGGAGGCCGGTGGCCGCGCAACGTCCGGGGTGAGCGCGGGACTGCAGCGAGGGTGGCGACACCGCACGAAGCGACGCGAGGTTGCCGCGCGCTGTCAGCTCGGATTCAAGATGTATGATTGGATGGTGGTATCTTGATCGTAATCTGATTGCTTAGGGACGGACGAGGCGCGTGATCATTTGTCGTGTGTTTGTGAGGTAAGCGTCCACACGGCCTAGATCGCCGTATAGCAATTCACAACTATACGCAAAATCCCAGTGCCAATCAATCAGATCAACGGCACCATGCGCCAGGGCTGTGCCGACGCGACGCGGCGGCGACTCTGGTGACGCGCGCAGGTGAGTTTCGAGCTCTGCAGACGCCTCTTGTATGGTTCCGAGGCCAAACAGCGCCTACAGCCCCCCTTATCGACTTTCATGAGCATCGCAGACAGGTTCAACAGCCCAGACCGTGCGCCGCTTGCCGTCTCGGGCGCTGCCCCAGGCCCGCTGGTGGCATTCTCCGGTCCAGGGATCATGACTGTGCTCACCTTTGGACATCTGCCCCTGACAACACTGCGGCGTGGGCTCACCCCGCTGCCCACCCCTATATCTGCCGGCCCATCCGCGCGCCTGTGCTCACTCAATGCACACCCACAGCACCCGCCCTGTTACACTCGCCGTCACACCTGGATTACATCACATCGTCAGCTGACCTCCGAGTGTATGTACAGCCGACAACTCCTTGCAGCGCGAATGGTTGTCGGATTCCCCATCAACCCAGCTCAAATGCCTTGATTGGTCAAAGCGTGCACCGGCGTGGCAGCTTGGAGCTCGTGCTGTTTGCACCAAAGCAAGCAACCGGGTACTGCGGGGG